TGATGCAGTGAGTCCTTCTGTCCTCCACCCCTCAAGCATTTTTCTATCCAAATGATGAATTAAAGACAAGTAAGAAATACCTTTTTTTTTTTTTTCCCAAAGCATGGAGAAATACAGTTGTTCTAGGTTTGATTTCTTTCACACAGATAGATACAAAACTTAGTGCACACTACTGCCTGAACAAGAGGGATGAGGAAATTCAGGCGCAGTGTTAGGATGACATTTTTCTGTGTATTGCTCCACTCTATTTCCTTTGATTTAATCAGTGAAAAATGCTGTGTTTTACACAGCTTCCTTTTAAAACTTAATCTAACCCAAGTTCACATCAAACTGGTCCAAAATTAACTTCAGTTTTGTGAATTCTGTCCAACTTTGTCCTGGCTAATTTAAGCTGGAAGCAAGCAATGAAATTCAATACCCAGAGATTTTTGTGCGATTTGGAGTTCAAAGGGGAATTTTGCACTTCCCAGGGCTCTGTGGGTCTACTCTTATGATATAATGGTGCATGTCCCCACCATCTCGGCACAAGAGCCCCTAGCTGACAAATCTCATTCCTCTCAGTGACAGCCCCCCTTGGAGTTAACCAGAAAAGGCTGTTTAAAATCTATGTGAAAAAAAATTTATTAGTTCTCTTATAAAAAACAGACATTAAATTTGCCATACAAAGGTTGCCCATCATGTTACTGCCACAAAGATTCCTAATTAATATTATGTAAACATATATTAATATTATTAGTGACAATGAAAATTGCTTTTTCATCTCAGTAAACTAACTGGGGACTTTCTGTGTGTTTATACTCCTTGTATATGGCTGTCACAGATGTTCTTCAGCAGAAGAGCTGAAAGCTTGATCATACAACATTTTTGCTGGTGACAAGGACAGTGGGATTGAGTGCACCCTTATCAAGTCTGCAGATGACACCAAGCTGAGTGGAGCAGTCAACACGCTGGAGGGGAGGGATGCCATCCAGAGGGATCTAGACAGGTTTGAGAGGTGGGCCTGTGCAAACCTCATGAAGTTCAACAAGGCCAAGTGCAAGGTCCTGCATGTGGGTCAGGGCAATCCCAAGCACAAATACAGGCTAGGAAGAGATTGGGTTGAGAGCAGCCCTGAGGAGAAGGATTCAGGGGTGTTAGTTGATGAGAAGCTCAACATGAGCCACGGATGTATGCTCACAGAAAGAAAATTGTATCCTGAGCAGCATCAAAAGAAGCATGGCCAGCAGGTCAAGGGAGGTGATTCTGGCTCTCTACTCAGCTCTCGTGAGACCCCACCCGGAGTAGTGCATCCAGCTCTGGGGCCTCCAACATAAGAAGGACAAGGGACCTGTTGGAGCGAGTCCAGAGGAGGGCCACGGAGCTGATGAGAGGGCTGGAGCACCTCTCCTATGAGGAGAGGCTGAGAGAGTTGGTGTTGTTCAGCCTGGACAAGAGAAGACTCTGGGGAGACCTCATAGCGGCCTTCCAGTGCCTAAAGGGGGCCTACAGGAAAAATGGGGAGGGAGTCATTATCAGGGACTGTGGAGATAGGACATGGGGTAACAGTTTTACTGGATGGGGCTTTGAGCAACCTGGTCTAGTGGAAGGTGTCCTGGCCCATGGCAGGGGCCTTGGAACTAGACCACCTTTAAGGTCCCTTCCAACCTAAACCATTCTATGATTCTATATTGCCACTGACTTAGGTTTCTGAAACAATAGGTTAATAAAAGTTTTTTATTCCTTGTTCTCTAAGTCTGGACCCACTGATCCATATATATACAACTCTTTTGCCAAACTTGTGAAAATGTAAAGCATTGCCTTTGGCACAAGCACAATGTAAAATTCAAAAGAACAATGTCCTTGACTACTAAACCCGAAGGAGTTGCTCACGGGTTCACTGGCTACAGATTCCCCACAGATTCTTCTCTTGCTGTAACTTCACTTAACTCGTTGTCTCCAAAAACATCTTCACAATGTTATTTCTCACCAAACTGGCATTTTCAGTGCATTTGAAAGGTCTATGGATCTATTAACTACATGAAAAAGCAATGGGAAATATCATAGTCCTGAGTACTCCACTATCTAGTACTGAAGGGGATCCTGTAGAAACACAAGCATGGTGGATTAAAATGTTTTCTTACTTGCTTCTTTAGAAACCAGGAGAATAAATTCTCCTTTAACTAACTGAATTGCACAGATAGAACTGAAGGCGGAATCTGGCCTACATTGCCTTGTACGCTATGGCTGAATTACTTGACAATTAAAACTTTCTTTAATGGTGGATGTGCATCTCTAGCTGATTTAGCATCATTTTTAGTTTTCATTAATATGCAGATGTCAAACCCCAAGAGCCATTGTGCATATAAACATTTTTAGCTCTCAGTTTGATATATGTATTTTGGCTGATTAATTTTCAAAATATCTATTTGTACTCGTGCCAAACAGACTGGCATTTCCATACAAGACTCCAGTTTATGCACCAGCACTTTATAAATCTCCAAATAAAATCTTCCATGTTTATTTTTCTTAGAGAGAAAATCCCATTTAATGTGTGGGCCTCTTTTCTTTAGATGAATTTTACTATTGAGAGGGTAACTGTATTCTTTTCTAAGTCATATTGGTGTTTGATTATTTTTTTTGTTATGGGAAAAGAGGAAATAAAAGTAATACTAAAAATACATGGTACTTCTACTGTGGGTTTTAGCTACACATAGCCTAAAGCACATAACCATCATTTTGTTGTCTGGTGGTACTAGAGAAAGCCTAGTGGTATGATGCTAGGAAGGGGAGAAAAAAAGACTTTCCTGGATTTGCAGCCAATACTTTGTCTGCAGCCTGATCTCCTAAAGGACGCCTACTCCATTTCTGATGGTGTTTGGTGCCTTCCATGATGTCTGTTTCTTCACATGGTTAGTTTCTTGACATAAAGTGTGGACAATGCCTTTAAAGGGCGTCAGCAGATATTTTATAACTTATTGTCATAACTTTTTAGCTCTCAGTTTGATGTGTATTTTGAGTAAGTAATTTTCAAAATATCTATTTGCACTTGTGCCAAATACAAATTTATATTTACAATTTACTCCCCCTCATAAGAGAAGTGGGGTACCCACCTTCTGGTCGAGGAAGGGGAATGTAAAGCCAGGGTAGGATGGGAAAAAAATTACATTAGCAGCAGCATTCCTGCTCATCCAGCAGCCAGGCATCAGCCTGACGTTCAGTCAGCGCTCCACAGAGTTGGGATATAAGGTCCATGACATCATCTATCCTAATTTTTCAGACCCTATCCTTCTCCTGAATACCCCAGTAATCGCAGAGTACAATGAAGTCTTCACCGGTTATTGCATTGACTCTGGTACTCCCTGGAGGCACCGTGGGATATAGTCCTGATGCTGTCAGCAGTAGGCAATGCTTCCAGAGTTAGTTTAGAGCCTTCTCCTTCATTTCTAACATATAGCTGCATGGTGGCTCCCAGAGGGCCTCCATGCTGCCATGGAAGCAACCATGATTTTATCCTGTGCAACCTGGCTGTAAAATATTTAATCCAGGACATGTTAACAGTGTAGCAAGAGCGAGCCTAGAGGCTCTGCATGTTCAAATATTTATGCTTCCTGGGTGAGTCTGGCAAGAAGTGCTGCCAAGTGTGCTGTTATCAGTGTCCTGTGCTGGCTAATTTAAAATTAACTTGGGTACTGCCTACATGAGTCGCAGCAATATATTTGACTGAAACCGTCCTGCCCCTCCAGGCAGGATACAGAGCTCAGAGGGAAGGTGGAGATGAGATGAATCATTTTTGTGCCCTTCAAAACCTGAGCTACTTCACCATCGGGAGAGACCGACAGTGTAATTTGGGCAGGCCCTAGAGCAGCGCTAGGGAGAGCACCTTCACTCCAGGGGGGGTACGAAAGAGGAGCCTGAGAGGCTTTTTGCACAGTACCTGCGCTAGGGATGCTGCCCGCAGCTCTCACAAAGGTGCACAGATGCTGGTGTTTCACCCACATGTTCACAAGGTGCCCAGAGAGCGCTGTGGCTCATAGAGCAAAATTAGGGACATCCTTCCCACGATTTCATAGGCAGGACAACAGTTTTCAGGAATAGACATTTATCAGAAACATTTATTTTCAAAAAAAACAAACAACCAAACACTGGAGAAGCAGGAGAGGAAAATAAAAGGCTGCATGAGTTTTCTCATTTTGTCTACAGTTTTCTCTGTAGTTACTCCAGAGTCGGACCCCAATATTTTTTCTTGCCGGTTTCCTTTTGAGAGAAAAACATTCAATTACCATACAAACATCAAGTACAAGCACGAAAAAATATCAAGCGCCTCGGAGTGTATTTATTTATGGGATTGCTCCAGATGAACGCACGCTATTGTAAAAATAATTCACTCACTTCCCAGTACCCTTCTCATTATGTACGCAGTCATATCAGGCAAAACAAAAGCTTAATCTGTTTTCAGAAGAAAGCAAGTGCAGTTCACTGCCACAGAAATGATCCAGCATGTCGGAAATCAAGGTTCCTGCTCCTTGATTATTTAAACAGAGCAGAGCCTACTCCGTTTCTGAATCTCTGGTGTAAGCAGCTTAAATGTCACTCCCTGCTCTGCCAAACCACTTTTTGTGTTTGAGCACTGCTCTCCGCTTGTCCTGCTGCTTAACTGGCAAATAATTTCACTTAGTCAAGCCTATTTCAGGAGCAGGAGGAGTATTAAGAAACTGACTCTTAAAAAAGAAACAAAAAGAAAGCAAGCAAGAAGTTTTCCCGGCGGTCGCTTGGTGCCATGCCGGATTATCTCAGGTTTCTAGTTTCCTAGGAATGTAGTAACTTCCCCATGGGTTGTTTTGTGGGCGGTGTTTTTGAATATATGCTAATTCAGCTTTCCTGACAGGGAGAGGAGCCGTGTCTCAGTTACACAGCTCTCCTGACAGCAAACGGTGGTGAGAGGCTGCTACGGAGCCAGGCCATGCACTCCTGCTCGTGACAGGACCGCTCACCCTCCTGTCGGGGCCCATTGGGACCCCCCAGTCACCTTTGTCACCAGCAACAGGGCCGACATGTGCCTATGACCATGGAGATGAAGGACTCGGGCAGCGTGGTCCTGACAGCCTACCATCCCCACAGCCCGGCCAGGATCCCAGGCATGGAGCAGAGCTTTGTGCAGGACATCCCCCCCAGCCATTCGCCCACCAGCAGGTAAAGCCTGAGGGATGGGGACCGGTACCATGCCTGGACTTTTCGCCGGGGGTCAGTGGTGGTTTTTGTTGACTGTATGTCAGCCCAAGAGTGTTTCCTGATCGCTCGGCCACTTCACGAGCACTTTTCTCTCGCATATTTCTTGCCTCCACTGGGGAAGTGATTCAGCCCAGTGCCGCTGGTCAGGATTGGGAGGGGGAAACACGAGTGCTTATTTTAAATCTTGTAAGTCAACAGATCGGGCCGGTTTCCTGCCCAAGATACTCGACAAGACAATCCCCAGGAAAAAAAAAAAAAGCACGTGAATAAGGCATCTGCTCAGATCATTTAGGACTGTATTATGGAAAGTGAGAAGGCTGGAGTGACTGAATCTGGCACTCAGAAAGTTGATTCTGGCTTTGGTTTAGAGGATTATTTAATTCCTTCCCCATTTAGCCACCTTGTCAGGACCAGCCCTTGCCTTTCTGTGAATTTGCAGTTGCTGCTTTGTACACCCGCATGGACAATGGGAGACTGCATCATTAAAGACTTAGTCTAAATAAGAAAATTCCTTTAGGTCGCAGGAAACTAAGCATTGTCTTAATTAATGCAGTCATGTGTATGTTTACTTCCCTGCTCTGTAAGAATGCATATATTTGCACAATTCAAAAACAGCAGTTTGGGTAATTTTATTGTTTTAGAAAATCTGACCTTTCTCCTAAATGTACGTGTCTGGGTTTTGCAATTTTCTCCAAAAGAAGTGGTATGAAAGTTCATACTGTAAAAAGTTGAAGAAAGTAGGAAATGTTATTCTGTGGCTTGACTGAAAAAAATGAGAACTAAAGTCTGAGAAAACAGTAGATGTCATTATCTGCAGGAATTAAGTCCGTGACTTCTGTTAATGAAAATAATGATATTTACTTCATATTGTTTATTTATAGCCTGATGGCTATTTTGTTTTCAGTGTCATTATTTAGGTTAGCTGCATCTTCCTGTTCTTTGTGTATTTCCCTGGCTGTCTCATAAAGATAACTCCTTTGTTCTGTTAAACTGTTGTTTGAGAGCAGTACCAAAATACACAATTTCACGTTAAGAAAAGAAACACAGTCTGGGCTTTTAGACGCAGTAAGAATGGCATTTGCTACTCAAAACAGAGAACAGTGGTTTGGCATTGGGTTATTGGGGAGCATGTCATTTCTTCCCTAAGGAAGAATGCTAAACTCAATCTCCCTTTGAGTCTGTGAGCAACGGAAATGTGGTGTTTTGCTATTTTTCTTGTAGGTGTGCTAATTGTTTTAAAATGCTCTTGAAACTTAAGCTCAGGGTGTATGAGGGTTTAAATCACATACGTATCACCTAAAAAAAACAGAAGTGCAAATTGCAGTTCCTTAAAGAAAAAAAGAAAAGACGATCCTGGCATTTCGATACGGAACATATTTTGGAAGCTCCTGCCATGAGGCAAAGCCATGTGTCTCTTTACATGTCTATGTGTCCATAAGATTTTGGTGCTCTCTCCCCTTTCTTGTCCTCAACTTCCTGCAGCTGTCTGATAGCAGTAGCCAAATTCTGCCATATGGGCAGTCAGTGGCCGTCTGAGTTTCCAAAGCCTGTTCAAGAGAGGGATTTTATTAACCCAGCATGCAGTCCTCTGGAATGCAGAATCCATGAAGGCAAATGCACTGAGCGTTTTAGCAAATGGTAAAATAGGCCCTGGCTTAATCCCTATTTCATCTTCTAAGAACTCTTTCCTGGACTGCATTTTCTGTAGTTTCCTCTGCCGCCATCCTAATGCAAGAAGCTTTACTATGGACTCTGTCTGGTGTTCCTTGATCCCCAGGGCAGCCACCCACACTATGGCATGCTAACTCCTTGACTCTCCAGGAGAATGATTCAAAAAAGCATGCAAGGAGCAGAGGTGTTGCCTATTTTTTGTTTGATAACAAAAGCAGTTGAGACCCAGAGCCTCACTATCCTCTGAATTCAGCTGGTTTTAGTTAGATCTAGCTCTAATGAAGTCCATACTTCAGATATACACCTGTGAGAACAGAATCCACCTTGGATATTAGCTTTCGATTTGATAAACTGCTGACCAGCTCTCTCTCAGCTTTGGAATCAAGATCTTTCATTTTCTTTCCTCTCCCCAAAACATATCTCTTGCTTTAGAGTGATGCTTCCTTTATATCAGACAAACAGCTCCACTCACCAGAGCCAGGCTTGGATGTGTGTCTCCCAGCTATGTTTTCTCTTGCAAACACTTTTACATTGGGAACCTTCTGAGCAGAGATTTCTCACAGAAAGGGGAAGCTAATGCAGCCTCAGTTGACATTAAACTGCTCTGTTGCCCACTATTTAAAAGGACACTGATAAAAAAGAAGGAAAGGTTTAAGTAGCCATCGTGAACCTCTTGACAACTGAGTAATTTTAAACACTCTTGCCAATCCAATTACACAGCCGAGAAGCCCATGGATGCCAAAGGTTACACAAATAAAGTAACCTAGATGCATCAAACCACTTGGTTTCACATCCATCTACAACTCCTGAAGGGCCAATCAGGTAGGTGTCCTGTGCACATGGCTAAAACCCACCAACAGCATTAACATCAGCATGAAGCATAATGGCCACAAGTATTTTCATTCATAAGCCCAGGAATCGGAGAGTGCACATACCCCTTTATATGTTAGGCAATATTAGCTGGTGGGTTGTAAGGGGGACAGGAGAAGATGTGCTTTAGCTGCCTCAAATGGGAGATGCATCAGTGTGTAATGCAGGACAGTAAATTCATAGGTGTAATGAAGGGGAGAGCGAGATGAATGTTTGACAACATAGTGAGGCCGTTACCGATCTGCAAAGGAGAATTCTAGCTTCCAAATTTACATTTAGATAACATTAATAAAAAGGTTGAGAAGAGGGACCACAAATTCCAGCCATTCTCCAGAACAAGAGAGCATCAAGGGGACTAAAGGTAGCTATACTTAAATATCTCCTCCTCAGCTATCTGTATCATTCATTTCTATCTTTCTCCTTCTGTCCCCTCTTGCAGACTTACTTTACCTGTCCTACACATGGAGTGAGCCCTGAAAACTGCACTGTTGAGTGTGCTAGAGGTCCAGGATAATTGTCCAGCCAAATCTTCCTTTAATTCTGTTAATGCAACTGGCAAGTTCACTTTCCATTTTTCTCGTTGGACATTCAGGTCCCTTCACTTCACTTGTCATCTTCTTTGCATGATTGCAATTGTTGATAGCATTTGTATTATTCATCTTTTTTTGCTTACTGCTTTTGATAACAAGGTGTTGGGGAGATCTCTGTTTTCTTTGCTTGGCAGTCAGACTAACTCTATGGGATATGAGTATAGTGGGGAAGATTCCTGAGCTTGTGGCATCCCCTCACTTTTTTTTAATCCCATTTATTAGAACTCAGATGTCGCAAGCACCAGTACCAAACACCCCAGAATATCACCTTATGCCTTTCAATACATATCTGTCTCAGTGCAAAGGTGAAAGTGTTGATTTATGTTGAGTAATGGTCAACTTTTCCAACCTTACTTCAGAGCAGGAAGGACTTTGTAGTTGTGCACAAATACTGCTCCTGGATTATACAGAGGAAAAGTGGGGCCATGGCCACATGCCTTCCTCACATCTCCTTTTTATCCTGCTAGGAGACGCTAGGAGGAGTTATTCCTGTGCTCAGAGGAAACAGGCATGACCTCTATGCCAAATGGCCAGTGAGCTCTCTAAGGTAATTATGCAATTAGGGGAGTACAAAGCATTCCTAAGTGAGTCATGCCCAAGCTTTCCTTGACTCGAGTGTTCCTCAGCCTGTTTGTTATTAGCACATCTACCAGCAAAGAACTCATCCTGCACTGCACTCAATTTCCACTGCAGTGTGTGGCTTAGGCTCATATGTGCATGAGATAAGAATCAGAGGAAAGAAAAAGTCCATTCGCAGGCTTTGTTCCTGCAGAATGGGTTTAGAGCAGCTTTTAAAGGGCACCTCAAGCTCTTTGTGCATGGAATAAACATCTTCATAATTAATACTCATGCAAAGAGCAGCATATATACTACCAAAGCTAAGAGCATGCTATATAAAGGTAAAGGACAAAGTGGATTTCAGCACCACTGAACAACTGAGCCAAGACCCTTTCTTAGCTTCTCCCCTAGTCAAGGGCAAGTCTGGCACTTCCAGTTGTTTCAGGGAAATGCCTTTTCAATCTCTTCACGTTCAGCATGTCTCCCTACTGTCAGGGGATGACTTTCAGGCAGCAACATTAAAGTGTGGAGTCAAAAAAGAACAGGAAATTTTCTGAAGTTTCAATGTTGCCTTGAGTTACCTGCTGGTAGCTTCCAGGGTCCCTGCTCTCCAAGCCAAAGACTTGCAGATTTGGGGCCAATAGTAAATTCATTACAGTGGACAAGCATGGCAGCAGATTCTTTTGCAATATCCACCCCCTCTTGAAAGCTCCAAGATGCTACAGAGATAAGTCATCATGAGGTAAAGTGTCTGAAATAATGACTGTCTCTGGAAGGACAAAACTGGAGGAGGAGCCTTTATGCACCAAAATTTGGCTTGTGACAAGAGGAGCCGTATGAGCAGTTCAGGTTTTATCCCAACAGAAGCAGATTTTATCACTGAAGTAAGGTCTGTATGCCCTGAGGCTGGGTGATCTGGGCTTAATTTCTGTCAGCACTGATTGAGCAGCTTCCCTGCTCAGTTGTATACAAGTGATGTCAAGAATGTCTTCTAAGTGATGCAGGATAAACAACCTTAACTATTTTGGATGTTTATCTCACTCTACCATAAACTTCCATGGAAGACAAAAATAAAAAGCTGGCTCCTTGTCCACAGTAAATCTTGAAATGACTTGGGCCTCATGCAGTAACTTGGACTCAAAACCTATGAAATTAAAATTTTAAAATGTACTAAAAGTGGTAAAAGAAAACCCCACAGAACTGTAGACTAGGAAAAGTCTGTATTGGCACAGGTTGGGCAAAAAATATCTTTTGTGGAAAAAAGCACTTTTT